AGTTATTATGTTACTCTTAACCAGCACTTTGCTTGAGGACAAGCAAACAGATAAGTATGGGGAGTTGATAAGTCTGTAATTAGGCCCTCTTTTACAGCCCATGTATTCATATTTGATCTTTATTTTATTTAAGTTTTACACTAATTTATATACTAATTATGCAGTTTGGTATAAAGAGGCCGCAAGTGGATTTTGGGTGCATTCTTGGCCCAAATTGATGGAAGATTAGAGCTTCACAGCAGTCAACACGCCCAGACCCATTCAATAAGCATGGGGGTGCTTCGAGCCCATGCACGGTCGTGCTTAAGGCCTTGCACGGCCGTGCTCATCTGCGGGAAGCCCGTTTATGAAGAGTTTGTAGGGTTTTCAAATCCTATAAAAGGGAAGATCTCAGGCATCGTAAAGGGACTGGCTTTTACATCTTGGCTTTTGCTCTAGGATACATCTTTCATCTCGTCTCTCTTACACGGGATCCTTGGTACATGCTTGGGGAGACTTGGAGCTTCAAGCGATCGTACTTGAAGACCGGGAACACATCTCACACTCTAGTTTGCTATTTTTGTTTATTATGGCTTTGTTTATGATTGTTTTAGTTCTTTTCTTTAGCATGAGTAACTAAGTCCATAGCTAGGGCTATGGAACTATTGTTCATGAATTTATGAAATTTTGATGTTTGAATCTAAATTTTATTTTCGTTTTGTGATTAGATTTTATCCTATTGCGCTTCTTTCTTAATCCTAATTAATTATATCGTCAGGCAACCGCACCTCAGTTAATTAATAAATCTATAGGGTAAAACGAGACAAAAGATTAGGTGGACCAAACCAATCTTTTTCTTCTAATCGTTATTAAATTAACAAGTTCATAGGTTCCTTAAACTTTCTTAAATTGATGTTTTGCATGACCATTTGGGATGTTAATTTAGAGAAAATAATATTAATATTGCATGACCATTGGGTATTAATAGTATTTGTATGAATGATTGGTAATCACAAAGAAATCAGATTTAGAGTTAAACAGAAGAATAACATAAAGGATTGAATGAGAAAACCCATATGCCCTAGGTTCCTCTCCGATAAGTTTAACCAAGACGTGCATTGTATTCCTTGCTCTTAGTTTTATAATTAATTTTATAAATTCTTGTTTTTAATTAATCTCGTATCTTTGAAGCTTAAACAATTGAATTAGAAAATTTTTAGTAATTGGAAATCAATCCTTGTGGGACAATATTTCAGAAACTTAATTTAAGAACCCTTTATTACTTCTCGATGGATACACTTGCCCTTCGAACAATGAGTTAAAACAACTATTTAGTAAAAAATATAATAAAAAATATACTTGTGAAAAACTTAAGTGACAAAGCTAATGGCACTAAAGAATTCATTTAATGTAGACATTTTAGCCTTAACTATTAATATTGTTGATAAATTAAGGATTATATTTTTTTCATTTATTCTAAGTGATGAAAGAGAATATTCAACTTGTAATTATATTGATAAACAAATCTATTAACTATTAATATTATTGCTAATTTAATGATTATATTCTTTTATTTATTTTGAGTGATGAAAGAGAATATTCAAGTTGTGATTATGTTGATAAATGAATCTAAAACATTTCAAAACATAGTTTTTGAGACACTACTCCAAAAGTTTTAAACACTTAAAACTTCAAGACTTTCTAATAACAAAATTATATTAAATGGGAATTATTGAGCTCAACGTCGTTGAGATCACTATATATATATGTCAGTGGTCGATGCCATTTGAAGTTGAGGCATGATGGTCTGTAATGAACTATGTAATTTCTTTAACTTTTAAGCATTTGAGAGAAATTAAGGATTGGTGTAGAATATGATATTATAGTTGTTCGGTCACATTGGCATGTAATTTTTTCATTATACTTCACATTGATGACTAGTCGACAAAGTCGATGGTATTTGTAATCATGAAAGAAGTTGCATCAATAAGGGAAGCAGTTGTCACTATAATTCAATATTGTATGATTTTGTTGAACGAAATCTAAATTAAGTGTTGTATCTTGTGATTATATGTTTGTGACCACAACATGTTGTTAGTTCTATAGTATTTTTTTCAAATTTTCAAAATTTTGAACTACAGTTTTGATTTTGTCCAAGTGGAAGAATGTTAGAATTTTTTTCATATAATTATTATAGGCTACAATCAATTATAATTTTTTAGTTTTGTCAAAAACAGACTAATATTATAATCCATTTGAGGATACTTAAATCTACTAATAATGTAATCAATTACTTATAGACTTTGGATAGTTAATACAAGTTAACATGAAAAATAGTGTTAGAGGTGCCTAGGATTAATAAATAGTGGTTAAGTTTTCTACTGTCACATCAACATATTCTATTGCTCTTTGAATTTGTCTCATTAAAAACATAATATTGTGAGAGTGTCACATAAACATATTCCATTGCTCTTTGAATTTGTCTCATTAAAAATCTAATATTGTGAGAGTGTATGACATAAGAAAAAGACTTAACTACTCATTATTTAGAATTGATTTATCATTACACCTAGTACAATTCATAATATCTAAAACAAGTGATGGGTAATTTTATAATTGATATTCTAAAATCATATAATTAGTAAAATTCAATTTAATTTAATTTCTACAAAATGAGTTACCCAAAAAATTAATGTAAATCCCTAACTTTAAGACATATCTCTGACTTCTAAGAGAAATCTCCTGACTTCTTTCTCAAACTTTTCCTAAATATATTATTTGCATACTAAATATATCTTTTACACGTATCCTAATATTTTCTAGTAGTTATCCACATATGTTAGTTCTTGTCTTGTGACTCGTAAACAAGTCATTTTCTAAAAAAAAGAATTATGTGACTTAATTCTCTTTCACCTTTTGTATGACATCTATAAACTATTCTTAAATTTATTTATTTGGAGGAAGTGAAAATATGTAAACGTTGGTGTTTAGTTTATTTATTCTAAATTTATTGATCAAGAAGTCTTCGTTTCCTCGATTAGAGGGTAATTAGTCGATCATAAAGTATATGAACTTCTCATGATGTTTATTAGTTACATGTTCTAAATTTTCCTTCTGTCTGTCTTTCTAATTTTAACAACACAAGGGATTATGCCTAGTGAAGGAGGTTATTTGGAGGTTTTCCACTTGTTATGATCCAATATATATAATTGAAGCTATTTTAAAAAAATACGTGATCAGGTTAAATTGGGTAAATCAACTTCCAATCTGATTCGCCCCAAGAAAATAAAACTCTAATCAGATTGAATCATGGAACTAGATTGGGTCATGAATACTCATAATTTGACATCTGTAATTGATTAAAAGATATAAGCACTGGCATATTGTCTCAGCTATATAAAATACGTGTAGAACGCTGTAGTAGTGCATGAACCACTTTTATATTAACGTACTTTGCTTATGTTTCGATTGCATTGAATTGTCAGGGACACGTGTTACAAAATCTGGCATTTCGGAAAAGTTAGAAATTATCGTAGTTATTATTTTGTCCACATCATGTATTCTTCGAATTCACATGCAATCATGTCACCCTGATCATGAGAAATCGACTTTACCAATAAAATTTTTGAATTTCGTTTTCCCATTATGTAGCAGAAATCATTTATATATAGCTCTGACCAAGCTAAATAAAAACACGTGTACTTGTTTGATCTTTCAAGCATGCATAGTGGAGCAAATTATGTGGTAGCCTAAGTGCGTCGAAGTTTTGTCTAGCCAACTTTTTTTATGTTCACACCGAATTTTCAGCCCACCTACCATTGCTGTACCTCTAATCTCAGTGCCTAATTAGTATAGGACATGCTAACCAGAAAAAGAAAGTAGAAGCACTTTTCTTATGTAACAAAATATAATATTTTACATTTTTTAATACCCATATCACAGCATGCTCAGTGTGAATTATGAGCTATGTTGTAGGTGAAAAGGATACGAATTATATGGAGTATGATATATAAATATGATATGTTTTAAGAAAATAAGATTTGAATATACCTTATAATTAATTGATTTACCATCATCACCATATTGTTATTAGTCTTTAACTTCTTAAAAGGTTTACTTAAATAACATAATTATAATTAATTAAAATAAAATATTATATTCAATTTATAATATTAATTCTTTTATCGTTCAAAGAAAATATATCCTAAAATTTAAAAATTAAGAAATCAAATTTTAATATTAAGACAATTGTATAATACAAATATTTTATATAAATATATTAATTTCATTCTTTTTTATAGGGTTCACTAGTTGGCTACTCAACTCGTTCGAAATTAGTTCTGTGAGTGACAAATTTTAATGGGTTAGACTAAAACAGTCTGAATTCAATTTGGCTTACAAAGTGGTGTTCGTTCTTCTTTTAGACATTTTGGGAGTTTAACTTGGATATAATTCAGATTTAAAATTTAAAGTTCAGACTTTACGTTTAACTTAGTGAGACATACCCATCTTATTAGCTCTACTCTTTTATAAGAAATAACTAACAATGTTTTTTTTATCTTAATTATAAAAAATAAAGGCTCATTTTTAAATATATTAATTATTAAATTTAAAAAATTAGTTTATGATATGTGTTAATGAGACATTTATTGTTATTATTATTATTATTTATATACGTAAATATATTTATTTATTTAACTTACAAATTATTAATTTGACTACTTAACACTATAAATATTTTAAAATATATTATAAATTTATAATATAATTACTTTTTATTAATTTTGATAAATTATTTATTTATTATAAAAAAAATGAGAAGAAATAAATCAAATACGTGATTGTGCATCATAAATTTTGAATAAACGAACTTTCTTGCAGGACATTATTATTATGTGTTGAACATCCCAAGGCTACAACCACCCCACTAGAGCTAATGTGAGGCCCCTTTTTCCTTTTCAGAAGTGTATATAAAGAAGGTGTAGCTGGTGCATGGAATTCAGGGTGCTTACAGAAAATTGACGCACAAGAGAGTGAAAAGAGTAAGAAGAAGATTTGAAAAGAAGGGTGATGGGGTTGCAGGTGAGAGTGTTTCTTGTGACAGTGGCAGTGTTTGTGTTGGCATCAAAGGAGTTGATTTTGGAGGCTGAGGGAGCTGGAGAATGTGGAAGGACCCCTATTGGGTCTGCAGCGGCTAGTTTGAGTCCATGCTTGGGTGCTGTCCGTAATGTGAAGGCAAAGGTTCCACCAGCTTGTTGCGCCAGAGTTGGTGCTCTGCTCAGGACAGCTCCAAAATGCCTCTGTGCTGTTCTTTTGTCCCCTCTTGCAAAGCAAGCTAAGATCAACCCTGCCACTGCTATCACTATTCCAAAGAGATGCAACATCAAGAACCGACCCGCAGGAAAGAAATGTGGAAGTAAGCACCCACTTTTGCTAACTAAGATTTTGCGTTCAATCACTCTTCTTTTCAGCAAATCGTTAATGCTCTTAATTAACCTCTCCGCTTTCTCTTTACAGGGTACACTCTCCCTTGAAATCAAACAGTAGAACAATATGCGATATGAAGTGTTAACAACGTTAGAGAACTAAATAAATGCAGCATGTGGGGTCTGGAGAGTAACCTGTTACGGTTGTGGCATTCTGTATTCTTACAATTACATAGTTTATGTGTTGTGTTGTTTGTTATGATAATATTAATGATAAACGTTACCTGGTTCTACTTACCATTTCTCCATAACTTCAGTTACTATTTACAATAATTTATATCTGCAAAAGTCCAAGTACAGCTCAATGCGGGCGAGCTTACCCTCCATATGCAAGGTTTGGAGAGGTATAATTCAACGTAACATTATATTCACTCCAATAAATTCTAAGGTTGGACCACTCTATCGTGTACACTACTACTATTATCATTAATTATACCATTTTAAATATAAAATAGTTTTAAAAAAATTATTATATACTTTATTATAAAAATAATATCAAATATAATTACAATAATATATATATATATAATAATAATTCATTATATTATTAATTTAATTTGTACATTTGTTTAGTTATTTAATTAAAATTTATATGGTATGTTAATTATTTATTATTTTAATTAAGAATTAGCAATAAAAATTGATTATACAATAATTAAATGATAAAATAACATTTTATAAAAAAAGTAATTAAAGTAATAATAATTAATTTAAATAAAAGCAAAACAGAAACATTTAAATTTTAAAAAACATAGATAATAAAAATGTATTATTTTATTAATGTAATCATTTTTTTTAAATGATAATAAATATAATTTTAACATGAATACCTAAAAAAACATATTGGTGGTTATAAGATAAATTATTCAAAGAAAATCACTTAATTGTAGTAAAAGCATGAAAAATTAAACGCTTCTTATTATAACCCTTCCTCGTAATACAATTTTATACTTATTCAATAAATAGAAAATAAAATACTCATAATATAATTATGGTTATTTTATTATAAATTGATACATAAACAAAATAAATAGAAAAATTAAAATTAAAAATAAAAATAAAATTGAATAGATTGACTGTCGCATTGCGCATGTAACACCTTAATTTAATTCTTTAATATTTTTTAAATAAATTAATTTCACAATAAATGAGAATAATAATAATTTCATTCAAATAGTTCTGAATACATAGTTTCAATAAAGAATTTCAAAATAAGGGAGGGTTCCAAGTTTCGAACCAAAATAAATGCTATAGAACTAATTTAATTACATTACAATTTTTTAAAATTAATTTTCTAAGTCTTATAGCAATTTCATTCTTCTCGTTCACTGAGTCTGGTGCTAATCGTCTTAGTCATCTGAAAAATAAATATAAGGATGAGTCCTCTACACTATCACAAACACAAACATGGAGACTCACCTTACCCATTTTATAACAACCAATAATATGATAAAATTATACTTTGACAGCATTAACATATATTCTTTCTAACCATGCAAACACATATTTGCACGTCAATTCACACACAAGTGCACTCATTTCACCTTCAATCATGTTACATACACGTGCGCTCACTGCACGTTAGTCACCCTCATTGTGATATTGTGATCACAGTTTCCTGATGCCTTTAATCTTAGAGACTTACTCAATTTCACACCATGGATGGTCGTTGGTTAGCCCCCGCCTCAGGGATATAACGTGTGCGGTCACGGACCCCTTAGCAAAGATGTTAGTCAGAAGCCAAGTCAGAAGAAGAGTGTGTGGCCTGTGGTGCACCAACGCTCACTATTGGTTGTCAGATCAGTGTATTTATGTGTATTCATTATTCCACTTGAACTATGTTGTGTATGTTAAAGTGTATGAATTATTCATATATTGGAATGTGAATGTAAAAGTTGTATGATTGTCGGGTAAGGAGCAGTTTATTCTCAAATGTTGTGTTATGATGTTGTTGAGCGTGATGTGCAGAGCGGGTTAGAGATTGGTTGTTAAGCGAATTGTACATGAGATAAGCTATGGGGTATAATCGAGAACCAATATAATCTCATCTAAGAGAGAGATTGAGAGTTCTGAGTGTAAGGTGTCTCGCTCAAGCAAGAATAACTTGTGCAAGATTAGACATTTTGGAGCATTCTCGCTCAAGCGAGAGCAGATAAGATTACCCCAACTGTCCCCTTGCCCAGGTGAGAGGGGATCTAGCTCAAGCGAGAGGCGACCTCGCGTAGGCGAGAGGTGTTCGCTCAAGCGAGGAGTTGCAAGAAAAATAGGTAGCTCTCTGGACCCAATCTCGCTCAGGAGAGAATTTTGTTCGCTCAGGCGAGATGCAGCTCAGTCAAGTGAGGTGTTCCTCGCTCAAGCAAGAATAGTAGAAATCTGAGAGGTTCCATTGTCTGATTTTTTCGCCCAAGGGAGAAAAGATCTCACTCAAGCAAGGATTAGCTCGCTCAAGTAAGAGCGCGCGGTCCTGGAGAGGTATTTAAAGAGCCTCAGCACCCAGAAACACTCATTTTTTACCAGATAGTTTTCCTCTTTCATTTTCTTTCTGTTTTCTCACCATTTTACCTTAGAGAAACCTTCTCAAGACCGAATTTCTTCCTGATCCAAGTGAGATTAGTTGTTTAGTATGGATTTAGGTGAGATCTCGACCTTAATCTTTAACTCTGGCTTTTATTTCTTGTATTTCTCTTCTCTAAAGTTTCTAATTCTTAATAGTGTAGAAATCTAAACTGTGAGTGTTGTTTCTATACTTGGGAATCCATGTAAAGTTTGATATGAAGAAAACTCATTCTAGGTAAGGGGAGCTTATCTGAGTTGGCTCATTCGTTTAGTAAATGTTGCGTTATTTATGGATTTAATATTGTTTTAGCCGAGAATGAACCGTTGTATGGTTAGACCTAAGGTTAGAACCCAGAGTATTATAGCTTAGTGGATTTCTCTGTTGCTTAATAAGTATTTAGAATATTGTAATGAGAAATAATATGCTAAAACACTGTGATATATGTGCTGAGAATGTTCAAGTATGTTGAAAAGTCTTATTAATGTTGTGAGCTGTTTAATTCGTTTAGAAATGCTTAATTAATATTGCGAGATGTTTGGTTTTGTTGGGAATATATTTGTATCGCTGAAATGCAGAGGCTGGTAATCTATCTAGCTATGCCGTATTATGTTGATTTAGCTGTGCTGCATCACATTCATTTTCATCATTGTAGAGTTGATTAGGACACTAAGCTGCGCTGTGTCTGGATCCAAATACCGGGATGGGTCACTCTCAGACCAGAAAACAGTTCCTCTGTATTACTTAAGCTGTGAAACCAGATGGAACTGAATCGCTGCATTTGCATTAGATAGGCTAGGAATAGGCCAAACATGCTGCATCAATTGATTGAAGCCGTTGTGCTGAATGTTGTGAACTATATAAGTTGTTCAAATCATTTTATATATTATACTCTATAATTATAATTGTTAATTATATCATTATTTATACCATTTTAAATATAAAATGTTTTAAAAAAAGAAAAAATTTATTATATACTAAATTCTAATAAAAATTACTATAAAAATAATATCAAATATAATTACAATAATATATATATATATATAAAATAATTAATTATATTATTAATTTAATTTGTACATTTGTTTAGTTATTTAATTAAAATTTATATGGTATGTTAATTATTTATTATTTTAATTAAGAATTAGTAATAAAAAATTGATTATGCAATAATTCAATAATAAAATAACATTTTATAAAATAAGTAATTAAAATAATAATAACTAATTTAAATAAAAGTAAAACAGAAACGTTTAAATTTTAAAAAACATAGATAATACAAATGTATTCTTTTATTAATGTCATAAATTTTTTTAAAATGATAATAAATATAATTTTAACATGAATACCTAAAAAAACATATTAGTGGTTATAAGATAAATTATTCAAAGAAAATCACTTAATTGTAGTAAAAGCATGAAAACTTAAACACTTCTTATTATAACCCTTCCTTGTAATACATTTTTATACTTATTCAATAAATAGAAAATAAAATACTCTTAATATAATATATGGTTATTTTATTATAAATTGATACATAACCAAAACAAATAGAAAAAATAAAATTAAAAATAAAATTGAATATGACTATTGCATTGCGCTCCATCTACAGTCTTGCTAATATAATAAATAGCTTGGAAGATCTTATCTTTCCTCTAGTCCAAAACTGCTCCAATAGCAACATTACTAGCATCATACATAAGCTTGAAAGATAAAGATCAGTTGAGAGTTATAATTATAAGTGCATTAATTAACTTACACTAATAGAAAAGCGTTATTTACAGACAGATTTTTAGATTTTTATTTTTTTAAAATTTTCTGAAAAATCTGTTTGTAAATCTGTCTGTATTAAAAATTCATTTGTAAAGTCCGTCTGTAGTTGGCCCGCCATCTGGAGCGAAGTATTATAGACAAGAATTATAGACGAATTTTTTCATCTGTAATTTGAAAATAGGAGAGAAATTTGGAGCGGGTGTTACACACAGGAAAATCCATATGTAAATATTGTCATTTTTTACTGAATTTTCATCTGACAATTTACAAACAGATAAATTCATCTATAATTGAACCTTTAAACTGCACCATTTCATTAAACCATTTACAGACGGATAACCGCGCCTTCTTCTTCTTCTTCCTCATTTTGCATAATTTCCTCTCTCTCTCCTCTCCCTTTCTCTCTAAGCTTCAGTTTTTTGGCCTTTGCGAGTGATTGGAGCATCCATTTGAAAGATAATTTGTATTAATGTGTTCTTGGTATGATACTCTAACTTTTAATCGGTTTAGTTTTTTTATTTTTGATGTATTTTAGAGACTTAAAATTTCTAAGATAGAGTTGTAGGATTGGAGATTGTATGACTGAGGGGATGGGCGTAGAGGTCCTTCTTTGAATCTTATTATTGTGTGTTGTTGGATTGTTTGTATTTGCGGAGTTTGTAGAATATGCATATTGTGGAGTTACAAGGGGATGTGCTCTAGAATGGTTTAGGATTGTGATGTGTATA